CATCAGTGTACAATGACTGATAGAAGCGTTATCTCCATCATCAGATGACTGAAGATTGACATCATTTGAGGAAACTTCTATGATATGTGAAACTGGGATCTGGTTGATGTCAACTGTACACGGATTGGTTTTCATCAAGTCACTCTTTGATGTAGATGTCTGACTATGGCTTGAGAGACTGGAGTAATTGTGAATTTGCAGATTGTCCAATGGTAGAGAATGCTGATCCACTTCTCTACTCTGCTCAGTAAAGCTTGGTATGTTATCAGCCTTGGTATGAAGCACTGGAAACTGACTCAGATCAGGACGCTCTGCATGCTCATGTGTACTAGCTTGGATACAATATTCACGGAATGTCGTATCCTTAGAGGTAAGAATCTCCTCAGCTCTACAGGCATCCATCTGCTGCTCATCACAGGTAAGAATCCTCTCAGCTCTACAGTCATCCACCTGCTGCTCCTCACAGGTTAGAATCTTCTCTGCTCTACAGGCATCCACCTGCTCATCACAGGTAAGAATCTTCTCTGTTCTACTGTCATCCATCTGCTGCTCCTCACAGGTTAGAATCTTCTCTGCTCTACTGTCATCCACCTGCTGCTCCTCACATGTTAGAATCTTTTCTGCTCTACTGTCATCCACCTGCTGTTCCTCACAGGTTAGAATCTTCTCTGTTCTACAGCCATCCACCTGCTGCTCCTCACAGGTTAGAATCTTCTCTGTTCTACAGTCATCCACCTGCTGCTCCTCACAGGTTAGAATCTTCTCTGCTCTACAGTCATCCACCTGCTGCTCCTCACAGGTTAGAATCTTCTCTGCTCTACAGTCATCCACCTGCTGCTCCTCACAGGTCAGAATCTTCTCTGCTCTACTGTCATCCATCTGCTGCTCATCACAGGTAAGAATCTTCTCTGTTCTACTGCCATCCACTGCCATCCATCTTCTGTTCTACTGCCATCCATCTGCTGCTCCTCACAGGTAAGAATCTTCTCTGCTCCGCTCTCATCCATCTGATGGTCCTTACTGGTAAGAATCGTCTGTGTTCCACTGTCTTCCAACTGCTGCTCATCACAGGCAAGAAACTTCTCTGCTCCATTGTGTTCCTGTACTCTACGGGCAAGAGCCTGAGAAATACTGTTTTCAATTTCCTCAAAACTTGAGACAAGCGCTTCAATAAAACTATCATCTGACAACTCATCTTCATTAATATGACTCGCGGCAACAGTGTCATTCAGTAGTGGAAGATTGGCTGGTGAAGTTTCACTAATGTTGACGTCAACTTTTTCATTCATGCAGATACTAGCTTCGTCACAAGTGCCATCTGACATTTCAGTATCACCGTTATTGGTATCAGTAATATTCAATGAAATATCATCTTCACCCGTGACACTAGTTTCAACCTTCTCACGTGACTGTTTTCCCTTTCGTCGCCGACCCATTGTTTTGATCTGTTAACTAGCACCTACTCTGGATTAGCACTCAATACGTCCAAAACGATAAGGATGACGAACGTACAACCTTTTGACTGCACAAACGTAACTGTAATTACATTCAACAGCTTGTATGCCTACTTTAAATCTTTCAGATCTGTTGAATACAAAAAGCAAGAGTCACTTGTTATCCATGTGTTTCCAAAGTTATAACACAGTTCCTACAACGTCCGTTTGGGAAACTATTTAAATTCGTCCCAAAGACCAGTGTCCTAGAATATCGTACTCTTCATTTCCATTGTCCTGCAACAAAGAAGATGAAATTATTAGTGTAAATGTATTGATGAAATAACTGTTATATGACTACCAAATCAGGTGACAAAGTGTCGCAAGTGTCAGTTACGACCCTGAAATGATATATGAGAATCAGCATAGGGCTTACACTTACGACCTTATTATTTATCACAACTTTCCTCACAAAATGTACAATAATATCAAAATATATTCCACATGTTTGTGTAAATGTGCAATAGCAACCATACACACAGCATTATATTTCAGTTATTTAAGTCCCTGCATTGCATGTTAACTGTATACATACCTAATTTCTGTCACAGTTCACACATTGCGTGTTTCCTGGGCTCGATGGTCACGTGATGATGTAGTTTCAGCGGTATGATATTGCAAATGCATTAAAAACAAAACATGGATACTTTGGTCAATGAAATGTAATATTAGACCCATCCTGTTCATACTGTACTTTCATAGAACTTCAAATTTGACATAATTTCACCATGTACAATTACAATATATCTACTTTGTCGGATGTGCCACTTACGACTCCTCGTTTTTCCGCTAGATCGTAAACTTAACAGCAGAAGGTCGTAACTGAGTTCTGGGTGTCACTTACGCCTTTTTAATACTTCGTTCAACAGTGCATGATTACATACGACCTTTGTTAAATTCAATATATTTTAAAAATGACTTGAGATAAATGCACAATTTTTTTGAGAATATGCACAACTCCAATACAAATAGAAAGAGAACAAAAAAGGTTTTTGGCTGTAAGTGTCAGATACGACTATTTAATTCTGCGACGTCGATAAAAAGTATAGTTTTTTGTTTCATTTTAACGATGATCCTGCCCATGTTCCCATATGGGAACATACCTGTATCTCTAGAACCGTTCGAGATATCAGTATGACATTTTGGATATTTCTTAGTTACACCATTATGAGACTCTCCTGTAAATTTGAAGTGACAATGGGATTTAGTACCGGTATGATAAAGGTTAACCACTAGGCCATTAAGGTACCATGTAATGCAACAAATCAAAACGAAGGTAACATACCAACCACAAATATAAACTCTCCTATACCTTAAATTTACTGAAATAACACCTGTTATCAGCCCTATTTGATAGTGATTCATGCAAACATGCGTATAATATTTTACGGTACGGTGGTCATTCAGAGGTTGCGTGTGTTTTTTAAATGTGTTTTGCTAAAAAATATTAACAGGGTGAATGATCAACCACCTGAACACCTGGTGTCATCACAGATTTTAGTGATCCATTCATGTAATTTCCACAGCAATTTTTCAATTTTAGAAATGTTTCCCTGTGCCTCCCATAAAACGTTTTGAAAGTGAAACTGATGACCCTTGTGTTGAAACTTTAAAAATCAACTTGGGTGTTTTTGCACCTTAGGGTCCTACGAATCTTCAAGCGACAGGGCTATTGAGGCTTCCCATGCTTCCTTACTGAGGTGATAGTTAATCTAAAGGTAATCCAAAATGTATGAAGAATTTGATTTGAACGGCTTGAGTAATTTGAACGTGAAAATGTGGGTACTGTCGTTTAAGGTGCAATAACATTTACAATCCGTCCTTAGTGCGTGTCAGAAACGGATTTTCTCACACACGCACGCTGCTGGTCAATACTCTCACGTCGGCAACGTCTTCTGTGGTGATCATTTGGTAATGATATTCCGCTTTTAAAGGTCTAATCGACTGCATAACGTCGTCGTCACACAAAAACAGACTTGCCCCAGTTATTACAATCGTGAGGGTTATCAACGTGGTTGACTGGTCTGTGTAACCGTTGAATTTCCTATTAAACCAGGAGCCGGTGGGGTAGCCTAGTGGTTAAAGCGTTCGCTCGTCACGCCGAAAGCCCGGGTTTGATTCCCCACACGGGTACAATGTGTGAAGTCCATTTCTGGTGTCCCCCGCTGTGATATTGCTGGAGTAATACTAATAGCGGCGTAAAACCCAACTCACTCACTCACTCACTATGAAACCAGAAAGGACCTTTGTTCAAAACGATTTTTGTCCGAACAAACCACTCCCACCCTGACAGAGACCCGTGAAGATCCGGGTTAGAATTGGTCTTCAGCATCCCATGCTTGTCGTAAAAGGCGACTAACGGGATCAGGTGGTCAGGCTCGCTGACTTGGTTGACACATGTCATTGTATCACACTTGTGTAGATTGATGCTCAAAATCTTGATCACTGGATTGTCTGGTCAAGACTCGACTATACAGACCGCCGCCATATACATGTACCTGGAATATTGCTGGGTGCGGCGTTAAACAACGAACCAACCCACCCTGACAGATGCACATGGGTAATACTTATCTGTACACATGGGCTTATCTTGACCCTGGAAAGACTGACTGACTGAGTTTGGTTTTACGCCGCTTTTAGCAATATTCCAGCAACATCACGGCGGGGGACACCAGAAATGGGTTTCACACATTGTACCCATGTGGGGATTCGAACCCGGGTCTTCGGCATGACGAGCCAACGCTTTAACCATTAGGCTACCCCACCGCCCCTGACCCTGGAAAGAAGACCTTAAGATACCTTTGACTGGATTTCATTATTCTAAATGATGAGGTTCAATATTCATATTTCATGTAAAAGTAAGATAAGGTGCAACTGGAAATATATTCGCATTGCTGCAGCCAATAGCTGGAAGGCCAGAAAAATGCCGGAGTTTAACATATAATTAGAGTTATCTGCCCCTGGAAAATGTAAATAAGTTTGGCAGGTTCGAGAAGTGCGGATTGGATACCTGCCCGAAAACAGCTTATTCACCAGAGAACGGATATTCAAGAAAATGCTAGATACTTGTGACTGCACTTACACTAGTTGTACTGCCTCATTCATACTGCCGTTTAGTTCAGTACATATCGATTATAGGTACAGCGTTTGCGTTTCAAAATAGAAATCACCAGTTCACTTAACTGGGATTTCTCCAAAATGGAGCTTTCGAATTATCAAGGATTTGTTTTCGTCTTGTTTATTATCCATGTTTTAGTCCTTGACGGGGCGTAGGGGTAGTATGATGGTTAAAGCGTGCTCTTGCCACGCTGAACATCCGAGTTCGATTTCCCACATGGGTATACGTACAATATGTGAAGCCCATTTCTAGTGTTCCCCGTCGTGATATTACTGGTATATTGCTAAAACGGCGTAAACGCATAGTCACTTTAATCTTTGACACATGTAAAGGAAAAGGAAAATATTACATGTACACTGAACATTAATTTGGCCTTTCTTGCATCTCACCTTTGGTAAAAAACGTTGATCCCAGTGCCCGTTCCAGGCCTGCTTGGTCTTTACTTAGCACTAACATATGATATGAAACAAGTGTTCTCCATAGGTCCCCAGTGCTGGACTTCTGAACGCTTTGCGACACCCAGTTAATCATCACAGCATTGATGTCGGTGTAGAACTTGACGGCGTCGGATACGGCGACAGTCCCCGGCTCCAGGGTCTCTCTGAATGCCTTGATGTGATTGTGGAAAGTTTCCAGAGTCTTGAAGTGTGGAATTGATGACGATGGCCACATTGATAAAGAGTTGATAGCCTCGTCAGACCTTTCCCTGGCTCTATGGAGAGCTGGAAGTGGAATCAAAACAGGTTGGCGTTACTCATACAATAACCTGTGACAGATGATTAAAACTAATATGTATGGCAATGGAATGAGAATTGTAATGCCTTTAATGTATTAGTAGCTTGTGTGTTACGCTGCGCTTTCATCAATAGAAGAAGATCCGGGTTAGAATTAGTTTTCAGCAACCCATGCTTGTCGTAAGAGGCGAGTAACGGATCGGGAGGTCAGGCTCGCCGACATGGTTGATACATATCATCGTATCCCAGTTGTGTAGATCGATGCTCATGCTGGTGATCACTGGGTTGTCTGGTCGAATATTTCATATAGCTAGAATATTGCTAAGTGCGGAATTAAACAACAATCAAGCAAACAAGTTTTTCATCAATATATAATTTATCGTATTTTCACCACATATTGTATTTGGGATTACACTTTCTCAGTAAGTGCAGATTCCAGTACTTTTGTTGTTTTGAGTCGTATCCGGGATTCGAACCAACACTCTCAGAGTCCTGCACCCAATCACCAGCACACAAACGCAGCGGCCGAGTGGGTTACATGGATGACTGTGTGTGCTGACTATTAGATGCCAGACTGAGAGTGTTGTCAGCTTCTGTATTGTGGATAACACGACGTTTCGGTTCCTATGCTTGCAGATGAAGACCTAATGAAGGAGCAAGCATACACTCCGAAACGTCGTGTTATTCAGAAAAAAGAAGTTGACATCCATAAATCTTCTTTTCTAATGTGAATAAAGCTTGTGAAACAAATTGGCAAATTATATTTACAGATACCGTTAATTTAATATTTATATTTAAGGACACGCGGTTAAGAACACATGCACTAGAAATATCACTGTTAATTGTCCTTTCACCTTAACAACATGGCAATGTCAAAACGTGGGTTGTCATTAGTACAAAATTGCAAGATATAATCTCAGTAATGAAAATGAAACCAGTTATGGCATAAGTAGTTTCCAAAATTATATTGAATTAACACAAGAATGCTTGTTACATCTGTTACTCAAATGGACCCCTGTCAATACCGCCGGTGTACAATACAGATTAGGAATGATCATTGTCATTCAAATGCAAATTTGGTTTCGAATTCCAATAACTTCGCAGTGAGCAGGTGTTGCGTCTAAGGTATTGTATGAATGTTTTTGAACATGATGTCAAAGAAAAGACTCCTGAGATGAAGCCTGAGTTTGTGAAGGATAACGATCTGTCTTTACGTGTAACGTTCAGCTGATACACATACTGTGACAAAGGTTCAGTAGGAGATGTCTGTTCGTGGTCCCAAAGAAATCCATTGTCTGCTACATCTGAGCAAGCTGCTCCATATTATAAAAATCATTTCCTATTCTCTTTATAATAGGTATTATCGTCATATTGATTATTATGTTTTACTTTATGCTACGAAACGTTACGTACATACATGTATTCCTATGAAGGTTCAATACTGTTACCGATATAAGTATAAGTTTGATTTTGCAAACAAAACCACAAGCAGCGAGGCGAAAACGCCAATACTATCAATGTTCTTGAGATGGCAAGCCAACGACTCGTAATTTTGTGTTTTCCAATGTTTGTTTTGACCAAAAATGTTCCCCTTTGTCAAAGGTGACATGAATACAGAAGTAAATATAACCTTTGTAAATCAATATTTCGGTGAAACTGTCAATATGTCACAGAGCAGTCCCGAAAATATAACCATTTAACAGAGACGACAGTATCCATGGGGAGAACTGTCTGGTACCCATAATGTACAATTATAAATACAATTGTTCTGTGGAACCACGTCTCCAGCTGCATAACGATTTTGATTGAGCGTATCCCACTTACATTGTACATATTCCTGTTGCATTGTATATATATTGTACATTAACTACATTGTATCATACCTTGTCACGGTTCGTCTCCTTTCGTTGCTTTCCCAGTTGTGTATATCCATCATCTATATTGTTTGCTATAAGCGGGTTTCCATTTTTCTCATGTGATTACATATTACTATCATATTTGTCCTATATCTACCGCTTTAATAACCTATTATACCACATTTATTATTGTTATACCATTAGTATTTCGAAGATCTGCATTGCCTGAACACCCCTATCTTTCAGCTATAGCAAAGTCAGTACATAGATATCGTATACACTTTCATTAGAATGGGTAATGACATAATCCAACATAGAATTGTTATCGGATCTTTCATGGAACCACACATCGAGCAAGCTCAAACTTTAAAACATCACGTATAAATCTACTAGATTATTTTACAAGCCTTTTCGGCTCATCATTGTGCATCTTCAGCCTAGAGTGTAAGGCGTGGATTGTATTATGTGCCCTGTGTTTTGTGACAGCATCGTTAGGTAACACCAACGCGCTGATCTTATTTCTATTGTTACTTTTGCTTTCTGGTGACATTGAGTTGAACCCTGGCCCTGTGCATGATGTAACTAAATCATTAGACAAGTCTTTACAAATATTTCACCTCAATACGAGAAGCGTGAGGCACAAGCTAGCTCACCTGAACGAATGCCTATCTGAAAACCAAATTATTTGTTTCAATGAGACGCACTTAGATAACTCTATCAGTAACACAAATATAGCATGGGATAGTTTTCACGAACCATTGCGTAAAGATAGAAATGCTTTTGGTGGAGGTGTCATGATCTACGTTAAAAATTATTTGAGTTTTAAAAGACGCTTTGATTTGGAAAACAATAGTGATGAAACAATTTGGTTAGAAATATATTTACCTCAGAAATCGATCATGCTTTGTGCAGTTTATAGACCCCGGGCATGGACGTGACTTTTGGGAGAGATTAGAAAATTCAATAGAGAATTCATTTGACTTTACATCAAAATTTGTACTTGTCGGTGATCTGAATGAAGACCTTTATCAGATAAAATTTCACGTTTAAGAGAGATCATGAACCGAAAGGCATTGTATAATGTTATTAAGGACCCTACACGTGTTAGTAGAACAAGCAGAACTTTATTAGATCCCATATTAATCAGTAACGATATTGACGTGTTTGACAGTGGCGTTATTGATTTCAGTAGTGACATAAGTGATCACAGGGGCACACTGGTTGCCATTAACACAGCTATCTCCATGTCTTTATGTTATACCAGAGATGTATGGTGTTATGATAAAGGCGACTATGAGTTATTGAATAGACATATAAGCAATACTGATTGAATTGTGTGATAACAAACACAACTGATATTGATGAAGCAACAGATGTATTTTATGATCATCTAGGAAGGTATATTAAGGAATGTATTCCATCTAAAAGGTAACGATTAGACCAAATGACAAACCTTGGTACAATTGGAAATACGACGTGAATCAAGAAAACGTAATAGGTTGAGAAAAAAGGCAAAAAGAACTAATAGATGTGAGGATAACGTGGCATATCGTAAACAACGAAATAAAGTTAATAACATGAAGTGTTATGCAAAGGAACAGTATTTTTCGAACCTTGATGAATTTATATCTGAAATGAGCAGAGATAACAAAACCTCATTTTGGAAAATACTCAGAAGGCTAATCAAAGAATCAGGAGCTATGAACCCTATTCCGCCATTACGATCTAATGAATCTGACGAGAGTCCAAATATATTTTCAGACTTTGATAAAGCGGAAGCATTAAACTCATACTTTGCGTCTATTTGTAAATCAGATGATAAAGACAAACCTCTACCCTTATTTGAAATGCGTACATCTAGTAGGCTCAATCACATTGTAGTAAATGAACGTGAAATTGCTGATATTATAAAATGCTTACATGTTAACAAAGCGAGTGGACCTGACCGTATAAGTCATAAACTATTGAAATGTATTGCAGAATCTGTCAGTAAACCATTGTGTTTTTTATTCAATAAATCGTTATCTTCAGGTACCTATCCTAATAGATGGAAAGAAGCTCATGTCATGCCGCTTTATAAAAAAGGACATAAATCTAGTTGCAGTAATTACTGACCCATTTCTTTAATTAGTTGTTTAGGAAAAATCTTTGAAAGAGTTGTCATGAAGCATATGTCTAATTATTTTCTGGACAATAGATTGTTATACAAATATCAGTCCGGATTTCAAGTAGGCCATTCTACGACTCATCAGTTAATAGAACTTCATAACAATATTTGCTCAGCTCTAGATAGACGTGAAGACTATTGCATGGTGTTTTGTGATGTTTCAAAGGCCTTTGACAGAGTGTGGCACCGAGGATTACGGCATAAATTAATAAGCTACGGTATAGGTGAAGAATTACTTAAATGGATACACTGTTACATCAGTGGCAGGACTCAAAAGGTGTTTTTAAATGGTTCATTATCAAATCCCAAATCTCTTGCAGCCAGGGTACCCCAGGGATCAGTCCTTGGCCCCTTTCTGTTTATAGTATATGTTAATGATATTGCCGATGAACTAGATTGTGCTGCACACTTGTTCGCGGATGATACATCAATGGGATTTTCATCTATCAATCACAGGCTTATGCAAGAGACACTCAATAAGAACCTACCATATTTATCAAGCTGGGCAAAACGTTGGCTTGTGATATACAATCCCAACAAAACAGAAGCTATACTTTTCAGTCTTAAGAATAATAATACAATTCTAAATTTAGAATTTGAAACTCAGTGTGTACGTTTGGAAAAATCTCATAAACATCTTGGAGTAACATTTTCTTCTGATTGTAAATGGAACACACATATTGATAACATTGTAAAACAACGTCCTTGATGGTTTCATCAATGAGAAAATTAAAGTTTATGTTAAACAGAGACACTCTTAATAAGATTTATATTGTATTCATAAGACCACATCTTGAATATGCTTGTGAATTGTGGGATGGTTGTTCGGTAGATTTAACCGATAAAATTGAAAAAGTTCAGTTTGAGGCCGCCAGGATAGTTACTGGTTTACCAAAATATGCCACTAGAGATACTCTGATATATGAAACAGGTTGGCAAATGTTAAAAAGAAAGAAGAAGATGTC